TAATAGGGATTCCCTTTCGTGCGCTCCAAGCGATAATATATATTTATATATAGTAGAAGGCATGAATTTGAAAAATGTCTAGTTTTTCAGTAGATTTTTCATCGATGGGCCTTGTGAATATGTGGCACCATGCATTGTCCATATCACAAATTTTCATATTGACCTTACTGCCGACACAATGTTTTCTCATACACTAGTTTCAATTCCACCAACATTAAAGATCTACCAATATTCAGCAATATTTATTGTCTCTAAAAGATGTGGAACTCATTAGTAGCTGGCTATGAAAACAGAGCGAGTGTAGAATGTTTTTAAGTCCTTGCCACCTCCCTGTCGAATTCACAAATTTTTCATACGATAGCGAATACTAATCCAGGATACGAAAATTAGAAATGGATGTGATATAAAATGAGTTGGTTTCAAATTTTTGTGGTTCTGATATCCTGGATTATTATTCGCCGCTGTATGAAAAAATTGTAAATTCTACAGAGGTATGTGACAAATATTATAAAACATTCTGCACTCGCTTTTTTTCATAGCCACCTACTCGTTAGGTCCACAGCTTCTATATTCAATAAATACTGCTGAATATTGGTGAATGTTCATTGTTGGTAAAAATTGAATCTAGTGTGTGACGAAACACTGTATCAGCAACAAGGCAAATATGAAAATTTATGATATGGACAATGTTGTCAGATATTTACAAGTTCAATCGATGAAAAGTCTACTGAGAAACTAGAATTTATCAGAATGTTGGGCTAAGACTAGAAATATCTCATAAGTTGTATATTTTTGAAAAGCGAAAAGCATCAATGTTTCAAATGAGGAAAAATATGCGTGATGTTCCATTTGAAAAAACATAACTTTGGATTGATTATATCTGGATAATAACAGCTTATTCTGAAATTCTGATTACGCCACTGGATTCTACGTGAAAAAATGTATGACAAACACTTTCGACTTTTTCGATGAATTGGGAGATGGTTGAGATACAAGAAAGGTTCCGAGATGCAGCATTTTCAATTTCGCCCTGTATCTCAAAAAGGCAGCGGGCTACAAGAACTTGGTTAAGGGTATCGTGAGTTTCACTAAAAAGAAGCCCACGTTTGCGAAAATGGAAAATCTCTATTTTAGAAAATAAATGAGATACCTATCCCGTTATGACATCGAAAATGGGACAGCCTGTACAGGGTATTCACGAATATTTAGAACCCCTACTCAACTTTTTTATGTATTGTCAATTTTAATTATCCAAGAAACTTTCTTCAATACTCTTCCTTTAAATTTTCAAATTTTATATATGCCAATGAAAAAACTGACTATTTTTTCAAAAGTTCAACTGTTTTTCTGTTGGTTTATACAGAAAAAATATGAGAGATCGTTCTTGGAAACAAAATCGAATGATACATGAAAAAATAAGCAGGGGTTCAGTACAAAATACTGAAGAACTGTCAATAGTAACTCTTTATGAATAGATATGTTGTACTCATTTCAAACTAATCGATGCCACGCTGTTTCAATTAAGACTTCCAATTAGGAACTGATGATAAGTGTATATGCACAACAGAGTTATACATCAGGAATTGATCATGAATATACCTGCAGAACGCATTTCAAACCCATAAATGCCACTGTAGTACAATGAGAAACTCTGATCAGGAACTGATTATGAATGTATCTGCAGAACACAGTTCATACTCATAGAGTTAATATGGAATTTCTATGAGGAACTGATTATGAAAGTATCTGCAATAAACATTTCAAACTCATGAATGCCACTGCATTCCGATAAGGAGTTCTGATCAGGAAATGATTATAAATCTATCTGCAAATCAGAGTTCATATGGAATTGCTATGATGAACCCATTATGAATGCATGTATCTACAATACACATTTTGAACTCATAAATACCACGGTATTTTAGTGATAAATTCCGATTAGTGACTGATTATGAAATGTATCTGCAAAACAGAATTCAGACTCGTAGATCTCATATGACTGTGCTATAATAAGCTATCTATGAATGTATCTGCAATACACACTTTGAACTCATAAATGCCAAGGTATTTGAATAAAATCCCGAATAGGGACTGATTATAATTAATGTATCTGCAAAACAGCGTTTATTGTCATACACTTCGAAAGAAATTGCTATTAGGAACTGATTATAAATGTATCTGTGAAACACAGATTATACTCATAGAGTACGTGAAAAACTGCCAATAGGAACTCATTATGATCGTTCCTGTGAAACACATTTCAAACTGATAAATGCCACGGTAATTCAATGAGGAATTCCAATTAGGAACTGATGATAAGTGTATCTGCAAAACAGAGTTATACTCTAAGTGTTCCTGAGGAATTGCTATTAGGTATTGATTATGAATGTACCAGCAGGATACTTTTCAAACTCATAAATGCCACTGTGCTCCAATAAGGAATTCCGATTAGGAATTGATCATGGATGTTTCTGCAAGACAGAGTTTATACTAATAGAGTTCATACGGAATTGATATAAGAAACTCATTCTGAATGTATCTGCAACACACATTTCAAACTCATAAATGCCACGGTATTTCAATAAGAAATTATAATAAGGAACTGATTGTGAATGTATCTGCAAAACAGTTTATACTCAAAAATTCCCATTATAAATGTATCTGCAATACACATTTTCAACTCATGAATGCTACGGTATTTCAATGAGAAATTCCAATCAGGAACTGATTATACATGTATCAGCAGAACAGAGTGCATACTCAAAGACTTCGAAAAGAATTGCTATTAAGAACTGATTATAAATGTATCTGTGAAACACAGCTGATACTCATTGAGTACATGAAGAACTGTCAATAGAAACCCATCATGAATGTACCTGTCAAACACATTTCGAACTGATAAATGCTACGGTGTTCCAATGGGGAATTCCAGTTAGGAACTGATGATGATTGCTATAAGGGACTCATTATGAATGTATCTGCAATACACATTTCAAACTCATAAATGCCACGTTAATAGAAAGCACTATAAAGAAACTATTGAAAGCTGCGTACTTATGAGAATGTGGGTAATTAGAATCAAATGGAATTATCGAATCGGTTGTAGTTTGAGCCTCAAATTCAAATCTAAAAGTAGAAACATGTTCTATGATAAAAACTCGTTTGTCTATAGAACGGCAAATCTGTGTGAGTGTGAGTATTCCAGAGAAGTGACTACGAAGAGATTATCGAACATAGCCGTCACAAAGATATAACCGTATACACGTGTTTCGATCAGTGCGGTGAAAAGAGGTGCAAAGGATAGGCAGCACTTGGTGGAGAACGGAATCAACAAACAGAAGCCAGTCGCACATTTGTGATTTCGGTCAGCAGACCCTGAGGTCTCAGAGAAAAAGCTAACGTCACCACGGAGGCAGCTATAGCTACCTGCGTGACATCCGTGTCCAGGAGTATAAAAAATAAGATGCAAATAATATCAAAGAAACTGTGAAGTGACTAGAAAGGGATTATTGGACATAGCCCACACAAAGAGATAACCATATACACGTGTTTCGGGCTCTTTGCCCTCATCAGTACGGTGGAAGGAAGTGCAAAGGATAGGCAGCACTTGGTAGAGAAGGAAACAACAAATAAAAGTAGGCAACAAACAGAAGCCAGCCGCACATTTGTGATTTTGGTTAGCAGACCCTGAGGTCACCTGCGTGACATCCATGTCCAAGAGTATAAAAAATAAGATGCAAATATTATCGAGGAAACTGTTATCACTTTGTGAGGACTATGTCCAATAATCTCTCCCTAGTCACTTCACAGTTCCCTCGATAATATGTGCATTTTATATTTCATACTCCTTGACACGGGTGTGTGATGGTGTTAGCTGTTTCACTAAGACCTCAGGGTCTGCTGACCGAAATGTGCGGTTGGCTTCTGTTTGTTGACTCCGTTTATTTGTTGTTTCGTTCTCTCCCAAGTGCTGCCTATCCTTTGCACTTCCTTTCACCGTACTGATGAGGGCCAAAAGCCAGAAACACGTGTATACGGTTATCTCTCTGTGAGGATTATGTCCAATAATCTCTTCCTAGTCACTTTACAGTTCCCTCGATAATATTGGCATCTTATTCCAGAGAACTTATATAATTCCCAAGAAAATTTCAGTACCTAATACCTCTTCTCCCTATCCTCCCTAGATACATACGCACGATGTTTTCCGAACATTATAGGGATTCCTGCTTGTGCGGCCCAAGAGATAAAAAAATACTCAGCGAGGAAAATCACGAAGTGATAGGAATATGGTCAACTCAAAATGCTAAAACCTCAATTCGCCAATTACATAGGAAAAAAAATGCAAAGTAAGTTACAAACAAACTCTCAGTTCCACAGATATCCAACAAGAAGTGGTGACTTGCTCAGAACAAAAAAACACAGAACAACTTTATTCGAAAAATCACCTTCATTTTCTGGTATAAGGTATTTCAACTGTCTGCCTATCGAAATTAAAACAATAACTCCACTCCACCTTTTCAAAAGAAGAGTCAAGACATTACTAGCCTCTGAGGGTTTTTATTCAACCGATGAATTCCTCAATTATAAATTTTAAAATGTTTTTATTGTTTGTGATCTTGTGTTATATACCTAATGTTCCCACTTTATTCCTTCCTTCAATTTTTTTTTTACATATTATCTACAAAAGTGAACGTTTCATATGTGTTATATATTGTATTTTGTATTGATACCTATATAAATTTTCATGACATATCCTATATCATTGTAAAGTGATCTATTTGGGATGAATAAAATATTGTATTGTATTGTATTGTAATAAAGGACCGCAATTCACCCGTCATTCCATGTTCACATCACGAGAGTATATTCGTTTTTTCTATATACCTATGTATGAAGTCAACGTGCCCTTGAATCTGCAAATGGGTTTTTCGCACTCTTCCACCCTAGCCAGTCCTTTCAGTAGCGTCCACTTCAGACCCTGTATGTTTTTTTTTTTTCAGATACGTGTCGTATTTCTTTGCTGGCTTCCGTGGATTCTACGCATGCGTAGGCCGGCTGAGGAAGACGATTTTGTCCCGTCACCGAATCGTCCAGTGCCTTCAGAGAGGAAGCAAATGCATTTTCCAGAGGTCGAGCTGAAAGAGCGATCTTCCAAGAGCTTGCTAGCGAACGTTTTAGACATAGATGACGATTTTAGACATAATTATCGGGGAGGGGGCACTCCCACACCCCTGCAGCCTGTGCCATTTTTTCGAGCGGTCTACAGGTGAGTAGAAGAAAAAATCAATCTTATTATTTTTGTTATATAGACGAAATAAACAGCACTTCCCAGAATCTTATGAGGATCAATACAAATTGATTATGAAGAATTTTGCAAATCGGCAAAAGAAGCTCTGTCGACTACTGAACTGATCCACAAAATAAACTTCGTGGTACAAAATGCAAAATCAATATACTCATGGATCTAATATAGTGTGGCAGATTTGGATAAAAAATTCAAGAATGGTGCTATTTAAATTTTGATGAAAGATTAAAACTTGCCGGAATTGTTCATTTTATAGTGCTAAGTGATTTATAAGATAGGGAGGCCCTGAAAAAGTTCACAAGAAAACAAAAAGATGGCCATGGTTATGTCGACATAATGATACATGTTTGTAGATGATGATCACAATTCCGCACTTGTCATCAAAAAATCAAATTTACAAGGTTTGTGTAGTATATAATTGAACTAAAACATTCACAAGCGTACAAAATGGTGGAAATAACCTAATACGCCGTCAAATGCTTTATTTATCCAGATTTTGGTAATACATTCATGAAATTTTCTGGAATAGTGAAATGTATGATCCTGGATGATAAAAAGAATGGAAGTCATGACTAACAGATGCAATTGACACGATTTGTTTCTAGTGATCATATACAGGGCTATACAAATTGCCTATATCCATCATTGGTATAACTCTGCTATCATTGAAGATACAACATTGTTCAAATTATAATACTAGCAGTATTTTCAATGCTCTCCGAGATTGAAGATCAAAAAAATCCACTGAGTTTGGACAGACAAAAAAACTTTTTTACATGGAAACCTTTGTCTATTTAATCTCTGTTCGTCAGAACTCCAAGTCTTAGACACAATAGCACATGAAAATTCAGATTATTTGGTCATTCGAACGAATTGGTATTATTAATGATAACAATGGCTGCGTACAACTAATTTGAATATCTCTGTATATTAATTAGCTATACAATATAAGTAGTCCCAAATGATTTCAAGCAACAAGTAATCATAGTGATCTTGAAAGCATCGAACAGACCAGTAATATGAAATTGGGTTAGATCAGATGAGGCTTTTTTTAATCATAACACACATCATATTATAATGATGATATTTGATGCTTCAATATATTGGTACATCGGAACACGATTCAAGTAACTCATTGCGATAATTCGATAGTTCTCATAGTTGCCCCCAGGTGCATACCATAATTTCGATGAAGATTTTGAAACCTCTTGGATTGTGGCTTATCATGTGTAATTTCCAACCAAATGTCGTCAAACTCCCTTGCATTTGGTGATGGGCTTGGCTCACCCCCAAACATGACGAGATTGATATGCTGCTCTTTAAACATGCAACAAGAGGGCTGTGTCTCACGGTCCAACAATTTGATGAAACTACTGTGATGTCATCATTGACGTCACGTCAAACAGCAGCTGAAATTCGGAACTTGTTCTAAATATTTGGCATGTTGGATCTAACAATGAGGTTAGGATGTTCGTTTACATGTTTTCTTCATTGATTATAATTTTATATCTTAGTAATTAACAAGAGATCCTATCATTAATATTATTTTCACTTCAAAATGCATGTCCTGGTAATTGGACTGAGGACCATTTCGGATAATAATAGGAATATTTTTGTTTTGCTCCAATCCCAAATTTATGCTTGGTTGACTAGAGACTCTGTTATGATCTCTCAATGTCTCACCTCATTTCTACAGATATACGTTCACGCGCATATATGGATTGATAAAAATCTTAAACATCTCCCATCCATTCTAAGGTAGTTTTGAAATTTACTAAAGGATATCTTCCAGACTTCATCAAAAATCATATGTGGGACACCTCTACCAATATTTCTTCTTTGAAGCCATTATCTTGAACGTATCTCCGTCTTTTCTGTTATCACTTCATATTACCAGTTATCTTCGAATCGTGTGACAAAGATTTCTTGACATTCCAAACCATTTGAGTTGTTGGACCGTGAGACATAGCCTTAGAGGTATTCCCTCTAGAGTCCAATGTTTCGACGTGAAAAAATACCGTCTTGCAGCATTTATCTACCTCAGTTCCTGCACAAGTAGCAGGGTCATAACATGACGAAGTGGGCGTTCTAAAATGACGTCTGAGAGACCCTATAATGACGTCAAAATGTCACAGCCATAAGACGTCATATTGAGACGTCATAATAACATCGCAGAATGACTTATAAAGGACAAAATGAAAATATTATGAGGTATATAATTATATACTATATTAAAGGTACATAATAATACACCACAAACCTTTGTCGATGGTCCTTCTGGGCAGTCCTGTTCAATCCTAGCACTATCATTACTACCGTACGCATCTCTAGATGACAATATCGTTTGCTACTCATATTTGTATCTGAAATTATGTAGCGAGCGTCGGTGAGATGTTAGCTGAATGAAGTGCTTTTGTGAAGTTGCTGATGAATACGTTGAAAATTAAAGGAATAATTTTTCGAAAGAATGCTCGAACATTAGATATCCATTTTTTTTAATGTTTCCTCTCAAAGTCAATCGATCAATACAGAATGATTCGTGTAGAAAAAATTACGTCATCGGTATTATTTTAATGGCGACTCCATTCTACGAGAGCACTCAATTTAACGAATGCCCTGTATACAAATCCCATGTGTGATATGTGATATAATTTCGAATCCAGCTCCTCAGAGATTACGAACATTCAATAATATATAGGGTGTTCCTTTTGAAAAATGTGTCGCGGACGTGTTTATTCAAACGTGTACCTTCTTGTATATTCAATTTCTCTTTATAAATGTGTCGATTTCAAGATGAAAGTCTCTCCAGCTGCAGACTCTTCAGGAATGGATAATATGGGAGAGAATAAATTCATCCACTACTGTGCCACAGCATTAAATTTATCGGACGCACTGTATATACAGTCCACATGTTCAATACATTTATGAATCTAACTTCCCATGGTAATTCCAACAATTTAGTGTTATATAGGGTGTTCCATTCCAAAAAATTTTCGTGGTCGTCATAACGCAAAAGTCCGGATCACCCTGTACATTCAATTCTTCCTTAACAATTTTTTTTTTCTCTTGGAGCGCACGAAAGTAAATTCCTATAATGTTCGTGGAACATCGCGCGTTCCTAGGAAAGACTGGAAGAGGAGGTAGGTGTTGGTTTTTATTTCAACTTTTGGAGGTTATAATAATAATAATAATAATAATATACTTTATTGTCTGAAGATATACTCTCATTGACAAAGTTCATATGTTGTAAAATAAATAAATATAAAAATATACACAGTCAATTTGTACAATTACGTGACACAAAATAGGATAAAAACAAGAAAAATAAACAACATCAAGCACATATACATATGTAAATATAAATATAAGATATCCACAGTCACATTGTGAGTAAAAAAAATGAATTTTTCAAGTTAAACAGAAAACATTACGCAGTCCATTGTCAACATTTTTATCTGCGTAGAATTCGTCCAAAGAGTAATATGCTTTTGATAGTAGAAGCTTTTTAACAATTTTTTTGAATTTTTTGTTATCTGTAATGCATTTTATCTCATTTGGCAGGTGATTGAATATTTTTTTACCATTATAAATGAAGGAACTTTTAACTTTTGAAGACACTGGAATTGGTAAACGTATGTTGAGTATGTTTCTTGTATTGATTTGGCACGTAGCGAAAATATCATTTTTATATTTTTTTTGCATCAAACATACCGTCTCTAGAATAAAAATGCAAGGTAATGTCAAAATATTGTATTTTACGAATAATGGTCTGCAAGAATCCCTGAATTTAGCCTTACACATATATCTAACTCCTCTTTTTTGTAAAACAAACACCATATCGAATAAATATTGGCAGCATGTTCCCCAAAAACAGATACCATATCGTAGGTGGGAATCAATAAGTGCAAAATACACACTTTTGGCAGCATATGTGCCCAGTTCATTCGCTGATACTCTGACGGCAAAGCAACCTGACGAAACTTTTTTACAAATGCCATTTATATGTTCAGTAAATTGCAGGCTGTTTTCAATTTGCAAGCCTAAAAATTTGGTTGACATTTTATTTTCTATTATCTCATTACCCAATACTATTTCCAGCCTGGAACCCTTAAAGGTAATGAGACTTGTTTTTGAAATATTGAATGATAAAAGGTTAGCATCGCACCAGACCTTTATCTTCATAATATCTCTATTGATTAATTCCTGCAATTCCAATTCATTCTTACTGTGCCAAGATAATGTAGTATCATCTGCAAATTGTGTTATCTTTGCAGCTATATCAATGTGGGCTAGATCATTGATATATAGCAAGAATAAAATTGGCCCAAGGACGGATCCCTGTGGAACCCCACTAGTTACGCTCTGGGGATGTGAGATATTGCCATTGAGTGTTACTTTTTGAGTTCGCTCTGACAAGTAGGACTTGAACCATTTCAAAGATACATCTCTAAAGCCATATATTTCTAATTTTTGCAGCAGAATTCCATGGTCAACGCAGTCGAAAGCTTTCGAGAGATCACAGAAGACTGCTGCAGCCATGTATCGATCATTTAGGCATAAATAAACATTTTCAAGAAGATGAAACATAGCATCACCAGTACTTTTTGAGCTTTGAAACCCAAATTGATTCTGACTAATAATATTGAATTTACTTAAAAATAACATCATCCTTTTTTTTACAAGCTTTTCTATTATTTTAGCTAGAGTTGGTAGCATAGAAATAGGCCTGAAGTTAGCAGGATTGTTAGTGTCACCACTTTTATGTAATGGAATGACAATCGCCGTTTTTAAACAAGCCGGGAATATTCCCGTTATAAAACACATATTTATAGCCTCTGCCAGAGCACTGAGAGCGGAATTAGGAAGATTCATGAACAATTTTATGGTCATGTCATCCCAACCAGAAGAATTCAAATTTTTTATTTCTTGAAAAGTTTGTTTTATTTCAGTAACGTCTGTTG